TCTTACTCCCCCTCAAGACCCCCAAGGCCTTGCCTTCTCCCCGCCTTGCCTTTCAATCCATTCCGAAACTTTCCTTGTTTGCCACTTCCCATCTTCTTCTTCCAGAGGGGTGAATGATATTACTGTGCCGCCCTTTCATGTTTCCCCGCTCCCCGCCTGTCCATGTTGCCGGGCCGGGCCGGGCCGGGCTGCACCCCGAGTGTATTGTTGCCATTCGTTTTCTCGGTAGATGTGTATCGTGCGTGTTGCGGATGCGTGCGGGCGGGCGTGTGTTTGTGTGTGCCTGTCTGTGTGTGTGTGCCCGTCCACGCCAAACCTGCCCAGCGAGGCCCTCCCGTATTTCAGCGGCGTTATTTCAGACGGCCTTGCTGTGCCTGCCGCGAACGGCGACAGTGCATTCCGGAATTCGATTCGCCATTTTTGCGATCCCGGCGCCCGGAGTCGTGTGCGTAACTCCGCCCGCTTACGAGCCTCCCGCCCGGAGCCCCCCGCCCGGAGCCGAGCGCCCGGAGTGGAGTCGCCTGGGTCCGGAATTTGGCCGCGTTGGTCGCTGTTGCTGCGGCGCAGTTTGCTGGTGTGGTGGCCCTGCCGGTCGCTCGCCCTCCCCGCCTCTTTCACGCCGTAACCTCAAATCCAGGTCCGGCCCATCCTCCCCGCCCCGCCCCGCCCCGACTCGTTCCCCTCATTTCCCCCTGAGGGATTTTCCTGTAGGTGCGGGGTGTAGATGTGTGTGTAAGAGGGCGCCGAGCGGCGAGGCGGCGCGGCGCTGGCCCGGGGATTTGGCCACAACGGCTCCAATGCGCGCCCCGGACAGCCCCGGCCAGCCCGGGCGCCCCACCCCGCAGCCTGCCTCGCAGAGATTAGTTTGGGCAGCCGCCACGCCCCGCCACGCCCCGCCCCGCCCCGCCACGCCCCGCACCCGGGACATCCTGTCGGAGCTCAGGTCGGAGAGCTCTGCGGGGGCGGCGCGAGGGCGTTGCGGGGGCGGCGGACCCTCGGCAGGAGGGGAGGAAGTGGGTCTGCGACGACCAGCGGAGCAGCGCCGCTCGGGGTATTTTTCATCCGGCCGAACTTTGTGAAGGTACTTGGGCGGGGTGGTTCGGGAGGCCCTGGAAGGGTCCTTGTGGCGGCCCGGCGCACGGTCTGTCTGCGTGTCCGTCCGTCTGGTCGTCCGTCTTTGCGGGATAAGAGAGATTCCAACTTTTTGAGACTCGGCGAGAAAGATCGACGAATGATAGCACGCGTTGCGGGGTGGGGCCTGGCGGTCTGGCGGCGTGGCGGGTGGTTGGATGGGGCGGATGGTCAAACCGAGAGGATGCCGCCCGCCTGGCCGAGGGCCTCCAAGGGCAGCAGAGGGCCCGGGGCCTGGGGCTTGGGGCCCGGAGGGTGGGCAGGACCAACTGGACGGCAGGGACGGTGGGGACGGTGGGGATGGCAACTCTCCTCGCCCTGCCGTCCTCCCTCGCCCCGCAGGACCCCGCTGCCCGTCCGGTTGGGTCTGCGGCACGGCACGGCACGCCACGGCGCCGCACCCCCAAAACCCCAGCCCCTGACCCTCTCAGCTTCTGTTGTACCCATCGGGCCAGCGCCGCCCTCGCCCGGCCCGCCCCCGCCGCCCCCACCGCACCCCAGGCCCTCTGCTCAGCACCAGGGCCAGAGGACCAGTCTGTGGTGGTCCTCATCTTTCAAGGGAAACCCTTGTGTACTTGTAGCCGGAGTTGAAATAGAGGGCCCCGGAGTCCGGGCCAGGCTGCCGGGGCCCCGTCGGACCCAACTACCCTCCTCTTGCATATTGCGTGAGGGGATGAGAGGGTCGCCCGATACACCCACGCTGCACGTGTTGAAGAGGGGCGAGATGACTGTCCGTGTGTCTGTCTGTCCGTCTTTCTGTCTGTCCGCCGGGAGACGGTCGCCGCAAATGATTCAAGACGCTGGCCTCGCTGGATGCTTTCCTTGCTGGATTATTTCCAGTCAAACAAAGACCGCGCTGTGGGCGGCTGGTTGGGCTGCTGGCTGGTCCCGCGCGGGCCCCTGGCAGCCGCTGTCTCACTCCTGTCGACCCTCGCCCCGCCTCGCCCCGCCTCGCCCCGCGCAAAGTCGGCCAGCCAGCCAGCGCAGAAAGGAGAGAGATATTGAAGTCGAGACAGGAGGGAAAAAGCGACAAGACGAATCTCCCCCTTTTTGTGCGCGGCCAGAATTTGTCTCCGGCTGCGCCGCTTCGCCGCTGCGCCACGACTCGGCTCGTCCCGGCCTGTTAGACGCGGGTCCGGCCGCCGTTCTGGCGAGGACGGCGAGGACACTGTGTTAGCGACAATATTGTCCGCGGCATGGTGAGGAATGGCCCCTGCAGTGTAGGCACACCGCACGCCGGGCATGGGGCCGGGTGCGGACAGCAGCACATGGGCCGGGCCCTCGGCGGGGCCCGCGTCCCTCCACACGTATACAGCCTGCCACTTACCCCCTCCACTCCCCCCTCCCGGAGCCTCATTCCCTCTAATGCCTCGCCATCACTCCGCCTTTCAGAAGCAAGCCACCCAGCTTCCTTCACCCTTCACCCCCACCGCCATCTCCATGACCCCCTCCCCCCGGGCCTTTTCCCTGCCGCGCTGCTCTCCACCTTCCATCCGACCCAAAAACCGCACAGAAAAACAGCGCTTCCCACCCATCCACGGCATCCTTTCCAAGTCCCATTTTCTCCTAGCCGCCCCAACCCCCACGCGCCGCCGCCCTGCCGCCCCCGCCCCGCCCCCGCCATCCCCGTTCACTCGGAACCAACCACGACGGGCTTTGGAGGCGCCCTTCCCCTCGCCTCCCCTCCCCGCCCCCGTCAGACCCTCTTGCTCGCCTCCCATTTACTCCTACCGCCGACTCCCTTTCATGCGAAATTCTGTCGTATCTTTCCTGCGTCGCCTCCCCTCCCCTTCCCCCGGCACCGTGCCTCGGCTCCGTGCCTCGCTTCGGCTTGATACCGGATTCCCATCCCGTGGCTCCCCGCGGCAGCAGCGGCAGCAGCGGCAGCATGGCCCGGTAACGACTTCCCCCACCGCCGCCATACACGCCCCATCACTACTTCTGCTGATGCACCAGCCCCCAGCGAGCCCCGCGCCCCACGCCCGAGCCCCACGCGAGCCCCCGCTGCTGTTTTACTCGCAACGACGCCACCTCGCGGCGCGGCCCGCAGGCTGCCGGGCTGCTCCGCTCATTCCGAGAGTCGCTTTCATCGCTCTGCCTCTCTCGCTCTCGAGCGGCGGCCCGTATTGGTGCGAGACAGGGCGACGGAAACGACTCCCGGAATCAGTCCGCCACCTGCCCTGGCCCGACAGGGCGCGGCTCGACACGGCGCGGCGCCCATTACTGCCGCGACGCTCGCGTCATTTTGCCGTCGTTGGGCTGCATTAGGCCCAGCGGCTGCAACGCGAATAAGGCAAGCGTGCCGAAGGGAGCCCTGTGGGCCCTTTGGTGCGAAAGGACGATGACGCGGCGGGGCGCGGCAATCGTCATCCCTTCGTTACAAGTCCTTTTGCCACCCCGCCTCGCCGCGCCTCGCCGCGCCACCGCGCTGCTGGCATGCGGCTCCCCTTAGCAGTGCGACAGAAAACGAGGGTAAGCTGGCGGGAAGCGGAAATGGGAACAGCACCGGTCTGTCTGTCTGCCCGTCCGTCTGTCCGTCTGTCCGCCCCCATTCGGGCGCCGCTGCTGCGCCCAGAGGTAGCCATAAATGAAGTAAAAGGGATCGCGGAGCCGCGGAGCAAGAAGAAGATGAATAATTTTGGATTTCGCTCTGGCCCGCTCGCTCTCGGCCTCTCCCTGCCTCCCCGTGCTTCGCGTTGCTTCGCGTTCCGCCAAACACCGCGCCGCGCGCACAAAGCTACCCGGCTGTCAGCGCCGGCCGCCACGCCTCTCCGAGCACGCACACCCACACACGCGCACACACACGCACACACACGCACACACACGGCCGGCAAGCCGATGCTTTCTACGCCAAGCACGTGGGGTGTGTGCTCCTCCCATACCTGCGGCCGCCCCGCCCCGCCCCGCCCTCAAATCACGGTTCACCATAACGTCCTTGATTTACCACCCCACCTACTCGGCGCCCCTTCAGTGCCTGACCGGAAGCACACGGGGCTTACCCTCCTCCCTGCCCCGCGGGCTGGCCTGGGCCCGGCCTGGGCCCGGCCTGGGGCCCCTTCCCCCAGCCCTATTTCTCTTTCATACAGCACACACTATCTGTTTCTCCAGACCGAACTGGTTCCGGCAGCCAAGGCAGGGCCGGGCGGGGCCTCGCGCGCCTCGGCCCCGGCAGTGGCGCGGCAGGGCCCCCACCGGGCCGCGCGGCGCCGCGCCCCCTCCCTTCACTTCATCTTATGTGCCGCCATTTTGCTGGAGCCCATCTCTATATGACCCTTCCCTCCCCTCCCCTCGGCAGTGCTACTTCCTCTCGCTACTTCGCCCTCTCCATCTCTCCGCCCCTCCCGCCTCCCTTCTCCCCCCCCCCTGCTTGCCCCGCTCTACCGGGGCTCCTTCCGAAACCATCTGTCACCTCCTTTGCTCCTTCCAAGCCTTCTGGAAGCACCCCTAGGCAAGTTCCCAACCCCTCGTCCTCCCCCTCCCCCTTCTCTCTCTCTCTCTCTCTCTCTCTCTCTCTCTCTCTCTCTCTTTCCTTCATTTCCCCGCTCTGCTTTCCCAGCCCATAACCCCCGCCCTCCCCGCCGTCCTGCTGGTCTTTGTCTCCCCCTCCCCTTCCCCTCGGGTTGTTACGCCCTGTCGGCTGTGTTTTGTCTAAAGCAAGACGCCTTTGTCCGCCCCTTGGTGTGGCGCGGCGCGGCGGCCGATCCTTCAGGGCGGCGTGGTTTTCGCCAAGATGATTATCTTAACGAGACGCGAATCTGATAGCGTCGAGTCGCGGCCTGGGCGCACCGCGGCGCACCGCGCACCCGCAAAACAGCGTGTTTCTGTCTGTTTCCGCTTTGTTACTTACTCTGCGCTTCTTTTCCGGACAGGAGGACGACGGCCGCAGCGTGCCCGTGTACAAGCGCGTCGCCGTGGTGGAGAACTTCTTCGACATCATCTACTCCGTGCACGTGGACATCGAGGGGCGCGGCGTCAAGCACGCCGGCCAGAAAAGGACGTACCGAACGGTAAGCGCGAGGTTGTTTTTGTTGTCTTTGTTGGATTGTTGTTCGACGCGAAGCAGGCCGTGACACTCGTAGCCGCCGCGCCGCCGCCTGTCCGCGGCAGCAACAAGTGGAGACGGTACGTGCTTCGGAGCGCACACAGGCACGGCGCCGCCACGCCAGCACACTGATTCCGACAATCGTTTTCGTCGCTCTGTCTCTCTCGCACGCAAGCGGGGCGCCCCACGAGTGCGAGAGGGACAGAGCGACGAGAAGGCCTCTCGGAATCAGTGTGCTGGCATGCCACGTTCGTCACGCGATCAGGCCGTCGGCGTCGAGTCGGCTCAGCGCAGCGCGCCCGCCAACCAGAGGCTAGGCAACCCGGTCGGCGGCGGTGCGCGCGCGCAGCCTGCCGGCACGGCGGCCGGCCCCCTCAGGATCGGTCCATCGCTGTCTCTCTCGCAAAAGCATTGCACGAATTGGTGCAATGAAAACGTCTGCAAATGCATAGCACCATTTGGCGCTAGCGTTTGGATTCTCAGTGTAGTCACCAGTCTCCAAGCCGGGAACGCCGAAAGCGATAGCGGACGGCTACCTGGCAGAGGCAGAGCGACCGACGGCCTGGCCGTCCCGACAGCGCGGGGCAATGGGAACCAATTTCGTCGACCGCACCGCCCCGGAAAAGCAAAAGGCAAACAGCGCTCCGCCAGTCCGTTTTCTTGTTCGCCTCGTGGGTGCGGGGGAAGCGTGAGAAGTGCAGAGAAAGCTGATCCAAATGTTGGGTCCGGGCGAAAAAAGGGATACGCCAAAAAATGAGCACTGGGGACGTATTTTCGTCTTTCGTTTTGTACTTGTCGGCGATCCGGCCACGAGACGCGGGAAATACGGCAACGGGTAGCGCCGTAGCGGCCCTCGGCAGCCCTCGGCACGAAGGCACCAAGCGGGGCGCTGCGACGCGGGTCGGACGCGGGAGAAGCGGGTAGAAGGGTCACGAGGAAAAAGGGAAGCCGCCAAAGAGATGAAAAAGTTTACTGCGTCGGAAGAAAGGGGCGAAAGGTACCGGGTCGGGTCTCGGGCAGAAAGGAGCGGGAGGGCTTGGCTTGGGTGCGCCCAAACGTTGTTCTGGTTTCGCTCGCGACCGCTGAGGTGGAGTTATGCCCGTGCGAGAGAGAGAAAGGGAGCTGGGGACCGAGAAAAGAGAGAGAGAAAGGGAGCTCGGAACCGAATAGAGAGAGAGAGCGAGCGCGCGGGGCCTGACCTGTTGCCAACGCCAACCAGGCTGACGGTAACGCGAACGCGGTGCTACTCGAATCAATACGTAGTGTCTCACGGTGTTCGCACAACAAGCAGGGCGTGTCCGACGTGCCACTTTTATTCCTTCCTCTGCAAACAACCCACGGCCGAGAGCTGCCCCCGCGCCGCCCCCGCGCCGCCCCCACCCCCAGCCGCTTTCACAAACTTCCTTTTCACCAAACACGCCGTCGTCGTCGTCGTGCTGGTGCTGCCCGGGCCCCCGCCAACGCACCCCGCCCCGCCCCGCCTGACCCAGTTCGTTGCTGCGGTGGTCGATGTCGCCCTGCATGGGGTGCACGACGGTCCGCAAGGGTTGCGCCCTGGCCGGCGTGGCCGCCGAGCGAGAATCGCTGTCACTGGAGACAAAGAGCGGCCCCTCCCCCTCCTCTTTTACACCTGGAGCCGGCAGGGGCAGTGGTTAGGGCGGAAGGGGGGAGGGGAAGGGAAGGGCGGCCAGCGTGACCACGCCACGCCACGCAGCGCTGCCGGAGTTGTTAACAATTAACCCCCTGGGGTTCGAACGTCCGAACACGCAGTCCGCAGCCCACCCCACTGTGCACCCCCAGCCCGCCTGCGTCGTTGTCCACCGCCCGCCACTGCCATGCGGATTGCTGAAAGATTCAGTGGCGTGAAAACATTGGCGGCGACATGATCGAAATGTGGCGCGATGGCGTGGCGGTGGCGTGCGTCTGGGTGCAGTCGTTACATCGTGACGGCGCGGCGCAACAGACACAATCAGTGGCCGGCCGCCCCCGCCGCCCCCCGCCGCCCCCGCCGCCCCCGCGCAGGCCCCTCGCGGCGCCCCCACGCAACAGGGTCGTTATACGCGTCGGATGCCACGAGGGTCGCCCCCGCGGGACGCCCACAGTGCTGGCTGGCCTCATTCCGATTAGCCATTTCCCCCACTGTTTTTTGTCGGAGCCTCTGACGGAGCGCGGCCTCTCTCTGTTGCAGATCACGGACTCGTACGCCTTCCTGCCGCGCGAGGCCGTCACCCGCTTCCTGCTGGGCTGCACGGAGTGCAACCGCCACCCTCGCTCGCCCGGGTCGCCGACGCCGTCCGTGACCGCCATCACCAAGGACGACGACTCGGTGTCCGCGGACAGCCTGGCGGCCTCGTCCGGGTCCGCGGGCCCCAGCCACCGCGGCAGCCCGCCGCCGTCGTCGCCGTCGCCTGCGGCCTCGCCCTCGCCGTCCACGCCACTGCTGAGCCCCGGAGTGACGGCTGCGGCCAGCGTGTCCCGCCTGCACCCGCTGCCGCTGGCGCCAGACCACACCGAGCTGTACAAGCGGTTCGCCGACCTGCCGCGCGAGAGCGGGGGCGTCACCAACGGCCTGCTGCCCTACACGTTCCCCGCGGACACGTCTCGGTCGCGGTACCTGGCCTCCTCGCCGTCCTCCCCTGTGTCGCCGGACTTGGCGGCGGCGTCGCGCTTCGCCTTCTCGCCACCCGCGCCGTCCGTCTCGCCGTGCTTGTCGCCGTCGCCGCTCAGCAGGCCGGCGGGGTCGGTGGGGATCCTGTCGCGGAACGGCCCCAGCGCGTTCCACAGCCCCGCGGACCACGGCAAGCAGAACGGGCAGCCCGTCACCAACGGCCACGCCAACGGCCACGCCGACGGCCAGCATGCCGACGACATCCGGACGCGGAGCCCCGCCCTGGCGGAGGCTCTGCTGCTGCCGCTGCGAGAGGACGCCGCCAAAGGCGAGAGCCTGTTCAAGCAGCCGCTGCCCTCGGTCAGCCCCGTGTTCCTGCACACGCCGGCGGGCCGCAAGACCGACGTGTCGCTCACCCCGCTCACCCCCAGCGAGAAGCTGGCCAGCTCGCCGTTCTCCATCGAGAACATCAGCAAGAGCAGCCGCAGCTCCCCCACGCCGCCGGAGCACTTCGCCGTGCCCGAGCCGCCGCGGCCGCGCAGCCCCAAGTCGACCGGCAAGGCGACGCCGGGCCCGAGCCGCGCGGACGACACCTTCCTGGTGCCGCGGCCCCCCAAGCCGCGGCCCCCGCACGCCCTGCTGCGCCACCCGCCGCGCACCCCGTCCCCCGCAGGCCCGTCCGCGTACCTGCAGCCGCTCGAGACCGTGGCGCCGAGACTCCCCGTCGCCGAGCCCTCCTCGTCCACGACGGGGTCCTCGTCCGTGTGCGTGCCGGTGCCCGTGCGCGCCGTGCCGTCCGCGACTCCGTCGTCCTCCATCATGGCGGGCTTCGAGCCGGCCGCGGGCAGCGGGCTGCTCAACCTGCTGCTCAAGAGCGGCGTCCTGAGGAACCGCGGGCCGCGCACCGTCATCCCCGAGGCCGGCGAGATCGACCTCAACCTGCCCATCACCACCACGTACCTCAAGTACATGCGCAGCCTGGGCTACGCCGACGAGGACGCGCTGCAGATCGACGTGGAGATGAGCCTCTACCAGCACGTCCTGGGCGTGCCCCTCAAGGTGGTGGACGACTACCTGTAGCGCCGCGCGCTCGAACGCCGTTCATGTGCTGTGAGATTACGTGAAATGTGTCGAGCTATTTTATTGTTGTTGAATTTTTTCATAGTTTTTTTTTTTTTTTTTCAAACGAACTGTTGGTTTGTTTGTTTTTTTACTCGGTGGGCCATTGATTGGGCTGTTTGCCTGACCTATAGTAGCTGTACCACGTGCAATTTCAATGATTTGGGAGATATTGTTTATTATAAATATATTCATATATGATTGTGATGCTTATTTGTGATCGAAATAGCCTTTGTTTAGTCGTCAGAGGACATTAATTACTATGATTGTGATTTAGAAGCCAAATATTTAAGTAATGAAATTATTGCTAGTCCTTTAAGTGTCCTTATGACCGTTTTCTGTTTAATTTGAAGCTGATCTCGGGGTGATTATTGTTTTAAATCAAAGAATATTTACACGTCTTTGTTAGCACTAAATAAAATGGTAATATTGAATCACATCAAGTTACCACTCATACTGTTAGAGTTGAGAAGTAGTGTGGTGTGTTGCTTGTACCATTTTTTGCTTCATTGCAATGTCTTTGTGTTAATGTAATAGTCATATCAAGATATGTCTAATCAATTATCCTCGTGCATTTTAACTGTAAGTCTGTACTCGCCAAAGATCGTCAAGCAACTAACGGAAAACAAAAGCTGTTGTGGCGCTACCATAATTACATTTTTTTAAACATTGGACTTTGTCTAATAAATGTTATTCGTCACATACCAAGAATACCAAATATTTCTATTTTTACTCGTTCTTTTTCTTTTTTCAAATAAAAACCACATTACATAGAAAAGCCTAGTCTGATTTTCACCCTTCCTTAGTCTCACTAAACAAAGGGACACACAGACACATGCACACACACGCACACTCGCACGCCTTGAGTTGAAGTTGCGGCGAGGGCGCGAGCAGGAGGGGCCCGGGCTGCACGGCCTGTCTGTACGGGGTGCTGTAGATTGGCCCGCGCCACGACACCCCCGACACGTAAGCCAGGCATCTGGCAACCCTGGCAGTCTGGCTGTCTGGCAGGCGGAGCGCGGAGCAAGCCGGTGTCAAATTGCGACGCATACAGCCCCACAGCAGCAGAGCGCCGCAGCAGCGCAGTGGCAGGGGCGGCGGCGGTGTTGCGAATCTACAAGGCAGTGCCGTGCCAGGCCGTGGGCCTGTGGGCTGTCCATCCACCCGGCCGGCCAGGCCAAGCTAGCCAGGCCTCCAGTCGCCCACGCCCCCACCCTCGGCCATTGCTGTTAATTGGACAGGGCGTGTGTGCCGGTCATCCGTGGGCTGCCCTTCTGTGACCCTAGGTAGTCCGTAGGTAGCCCGTAGGCACCGCTACACTGTGTGGCGGCCCACGGCCCCTGCCGGCTAGGCAACCCATCGCGCGAGGCACCACGAGCAAGGCCGAGCGCCTGCTGCGTCGGCAGCCCATCCGGCACGGGTGCGGGGTATATCTGCCATTACCATTACCATTCGCGTTCCCGATTCGGGTGTCTGGTGCAAGACGCCAAGGCTTCGTTGACCTCGTATTGGTCCCCCGCAGTCGAGAGAAAATTGACAAGCTGGTATTCGAACACCAAACCCTACTGATGGGATTACACGTCGTTAACACCTCGGCTAACGCGGCAGACATGAAGCAAGACAGAGAAAATGCTCCGATGTCCGCCATGGTTTCCCGGCGCCGTTCTTTCCACGGTTGCCTTTGCGGCCCCGCCAACGCCAACGCCAGCGCGGCTACGCGGCCCCCGCCGGGCGGCCTGCCCTTTTCGCCCGCTAACAATAATTAATTAATTAATGCAGGGTTAAATGTGTTTGCCCCCGCCGCTCCCTGAACTAACTGAGGTTCCTCCTCGCGGCTACGACGTCGTCGGCAAAGAGATTGGAGTGGGGTGGGGCAGAGCCGCCGGGGCCGAAGGCAGACGGTGGCGGACTTTGGCGGTTGCTGGACCCGGCAAACCATCCCTCGGGCGGGCCGCGCCGCGGTGCGCCGTGGCCGCGGCGAGGCGAGGGTGGCGGCGGAGGGTCTGACAGTCCGCTTGTTACTCGGCTGCCAGTCGTTTCCAGAGTTAGTTTGATCGTATTTCCGTCAGTTTGCTTTGCAGGTGCTTTGTTGGACGGGGGAAGGCCTGGCTCGCCCGAATCGCGCTCCCCGCCCCTCCCCGCCGCGCTGGGGTGCCGGGCTGGCTGGCTGCCTGCCTGCCGGGCTGGCGGGGCTGGCAGTAGTTGAGTATTTCCCGGCCATCTAGGCTCCTCGGGGAGTCCCTCGCGAATCCCTTACTGCCCATAAAGTAACTTCCCCGCCCTTCGGCTGCCTTCCCTTCCAATTCCTTCTGCCTCGAAGGGTTCTCAGCGCGCAGCAGGGCGTCCAGGGCGTCCTGCAGGACAGACCTCACACCTCCGGGCCCTTCGCCCAGCGCCCGGCCCGGCCGGCGCCCTGCAGCCCTTCACGCCGGCAATATCGGCGCCATTAAAAAGTGGCAACGCACGGCCAGGGCAAGTGCCAACCGCAGCCGAGTTGCCAGGGCTGCTCCAAGGGTCACGGGGCGCCTAAGGAAGTCTGCTCCGGACCAAAGTGGAGACAGTGCAAGAAGGCCTCGAACAGGGTGACCCTTGCGACCCCAGCGAGCCGACCAGTCCATCATGCCGCATCGTCCTGGACGCGTCCTGGACCGGGGGTGGCCGTCACCGCCCTCTCCCCAGTGCGCCCGCTCCCTCCCTGCGCCGTCCACCCCGTCTCCAAGCTCGACACATCCGGTATCGAGGGCCGTCGCCATCCCGTTGGTTGTCAACTTCCTCCGCAGCGCGCGGCGTAGCACGGCCTGGCACGGCGTCCTTCTACCCTAACCGCCCTATTGTTTCCGCCGTCCAGCGCCCGCCCCGCCCCCGCAGACTCCTGTCCGGCGCGCTTCAAGAAGACGGACTGCTTCGCGTGGCTTGCGTGGAGGGTGGCACTGAGGGCGTCGATCAAACACCTCCTACACGAGTATTTTCAATTTCACTTCAGCTGCCGCACAAACACCAGATTCATCATTGCGTGCCGCTGCACAAACCCGCTATTGGATGGCATTGTCCCGGGACGGGGGAGGGGGGGGAGTCTTTCGATCGTACTCCCACACTGCCCGGCAGGGCATCGGGCCGGGACCAGGATCAGATCGTGTCTCTGCCCAGAAAAGCAGGCCGGGGTGCGCGCTGCTCCGCGCTGCCAGCTAATCCACCTCGCCCAAGCCTCGCCCACGCCAGGGACCGACGTCTAGATGTCTCGCTTGCTCTCCGCCGCTCCAGCGGCCAGGTCAGAGAGAAAGAGAGAGAGAAAGACAGAACAGAGAGAATCCGGCAGGAGAAGAACGAATTGCCCCGGGGTTTGTAGCACAGGAGCAGACAGTGATTCGCATTTTCACCAAACATTTTCATGACCATCAGTCCGGCGCCCGCCCGCACAGTCGAACTAGTTAATAAACCGGAGAAACTTTATTCCGGGAATCCGGTCCGGCGAAGCGGTGCGTCGGCGGGGCCAACGGAGATAGCTTGAAAATACCGAAAGCAAAAACCTCGGGCCAATAAAGCGTCTGCTCGGCAAGCTCCCGCGTTTGAGCGCGGCGGGGCGGGGCGGGGCGGGGTGGCTTGATATGACATTCCAGGAAATATTCCTCGGGCTCTTGATAAGGTCAGCAGGCCCGTGGCTCTGTGACTGCGCCGCGAGCGTGGCCGCGTGGCCGCGTCGTGACTCATCTCGGGGCGGACGCGAAGACAAAATGCACGACGGGGACGACGGGGAGGTGGACTCCACGGCGGCCTCCATGGTAGACTCCACGACGTACTCCATGACGTACTCCTTGGCGCAGTCATCGCGGGGCCGGCCAGCGCCGCGCTGTTGCTGCTGTAGCTGCCGGGAGCTTGTTTGTCCAGAAGACGCACCCCTTCCACGCAGCGGCGGGGTGCGGGCGGCACGGCCGGTCGGCGCGGCGTAGAGGGTCGCGGAGACCGGCGGAGACGCGGGGGTGGGGAATCATTTTGGCGGGAAATGTGTGCAGACAATATCGGGGAGGGCTGCTAGAGGGAGCCGCGCCGAGGCGAAGTGGCGAGACGACAAGAAGCACGTCCGTTTGGTACACACACTCACGCGCGCGCAGTCTCTCTCGCACACGTTATTTCCATCGGGATCCGGCCAGCAGCCGGCAATTAATTGAGCTGGAAAGTCGAACCCTTCCTGTGTTTTCGCAGTGCCGTGCCGTCCTTCGCCCCGCCCGCCCCGCCCGGCCACGAGGACAAGGACACTGCTGCTGGCTGGGCCGGGCTGGGCAGCCGGGCAGCACCACCGCAGCTCTGGCGACCCTTTTCCGAGTATTTCTGCCCTCCCGATATCCCCCTCGGACCTCCAAGGCGGCGTCTCTCTCTCTCCTCCCCGCGTCCTGGCGGTCCAGGCGGTTCGGTCCTGCCTCGATTCAGCCCCCACATCACTCTTATCCCGGACCCAAAGAGCAGCCCCGCCACGTCGTGCCTCGCCGTGCCTCGCCGTGCTGCTGTGCTTGGGGTGTAACGCCCTCGCCTCGCCTCGCCTCGCCCTTCTCCCTTTGTGTCCTGTGTCTTCCCTCCCCGCACCGCGGCCCTCGGGCTCGGCCCTCGGCCTCGGCCCTCGGCCCACCCCTGCCCGCCTCGGCCAGCAACCGGAGCACCGCGGGGCACCCCACCCCCTTCCCCTCGGGGCGCACCTTTCTTTCAAAACTCAATCTTCCGTCGGACATTGCACCTCCCTCTCTCTCTCCATCCCTCGCCCGCTTCCCTCCTCCTCCCCGTTGCAAGGCGAAGGGCTGTACCAGCCAAGGCGAGCGGGCCGTTTTAATTACGGCTCGGCGCATCTTGGCGCATCTCAGCGCACCGCGGCGCATCTCGGCGCATCTCGGCACATCTCAATGCATCTCAGCGGATCTCAGGGCATCCACTCCGCCCTGCCGTGTCATTTCGTCATTTTATCGGCCAAAGTT